ATAATAATAATGCAAAAAACAGCCTTACTGAACCAAATGAATGACCCTAATTAACAAAAAATGAGCCTAATAGCTGAAGTAGATTGCTATGTTACTCACAAAGTGTAAATGTAGAGCCAATATGTAGATTTTCAGAAATCAGATTTAACAATTAATTATGACTATAACTTTATTTATGAACAAATCACTGCCCACTGCCTTTTTCTCCAAACTCACCTTAATGTCTCTGTGCATTTTGCCTTTATTGTGCAGGTAGTATAAACCCTGCAAATAGAATTATACAGCAAATGACGTTACCGTTACTATTACTCATAAAATAAGACAACAATAACATGATAAAGATGATGAAATCTTAAATCATTATCAGTACTGAAGACACTACCTGTAGGGTCTCCCGTGACATGTAAGCTATCTGTGATTCTGACAAAGGCCCGGTTACTGGAATATTAGATTAAAAAAAAAGACAGAAGGCATGAGGGGGAAAAAGAGACTATCAAAGATCACAGTAAAAACGAAATGGTTTGAATCATTGTGCCTGGGTGTCCTTACCATGATAGATATCTTGCAGAGAACCACCTCCACAGTACTCCATGCTGATCCATAACTTATCTCTTCTGCACACACACAAAGAGAACTCTGTCTAAGTGCATGTTTACATTTACTCACAAGGTACGAGCCCTTCGCCTCCTTCGATCTATCTTACACCAGCTTGTGTTTTTCCTCTCTGACACTCATACTTTTTTCGAATAAAAATACGAGTCACTTAAATATCAATTAAATGCACTCTAATAGTAACCATAAGAAAATACTGCACTCCACATCTGGCACACACACACTCTCTTACCGGAGATAACTGCCAAAATAGGCAACAATGTTGGAGTGTTTACAGTCCTTCATCATTATAATCTCCTGCTGCACGACTGCAAAGTCCTCACCTTCAATAAAAACAAACACAATATTATTATAGTGATCATTTAGTATGCATCTTGGCATTGTTATGACTTACAGAATAACACAAAGCGCGAAGAAGGCTGGGTTTGTTTGTTATTTTCTGTTTCTGACAGACTGTTCTTGCACTTGTGTCTGAACCACTAAGAAGAGCATAAACTGAAGCAAAGCAGTTCATCAGTCCAAAATCATAAATTGTACAGTAATTAAACAAGTAAGTAAACAGTATTTCTTTATATAGGACTTTCTGCAGATTGAATTCATGACATGCTATAAAAAAAAAAACAATACATAGCATACACATTGGTAGGATATAGTTCAACAGCTGTCCCGTAATGTCTAGCAGTGTCCCCCAAACAATATTTTTTGGGCTTGATATTGTTAGTGACAAATCAGCTGTCATGAATTCAAGGTTACAGATGCACCAACTGATCAGATGGGGACCAGTTTTCAGAATTCCTAGCCTGGACTGGTAACCAGCTGCTCAACATTGAGTATGTCCAATTATGAGCCAGTTCCTTTCATGCATGTGCAAAATGTGCAAACTGACACTGGCAAATATTGCACACTCATATGAGCAGCCACACATTGGTAGTGTCTGCCTGTGGCTGTTAGCGACTTCTTCGCTGCGAGTGAGGGTGATGCAAAGTTCGCCAAACTAGATCATCAGTGAACTGGCATGAAAACTTAAATGAAGTATCGTCACAGAGCTGAAGATGATTAATTAAACTGAAGAAGAAAAACAAAGATAACAAAAGGAAAGTGGCCAAAGCTACGTGGCGTGCAGATGGAACCACAAAGCATGTAGCTTCAATATGAGCCTCGGTATGAGCAGTGGAAGAAAAAGAGAAAAGGGTTGCTCCCCTGTTATCTGGTGAATGATGTAAGTTAAACAAGTTAAATGATGCAAGAAACTTACATTTGTGTTTTTATAGAAATCTGTTACACCTGCTTTTGTTTGGAAAGGTAAATTATGTGTACATTAACTCCTTTATTTTTTCTATTATTTACTTTCAGAGATGTTTAACAGTGAAGATCGTGTAACTTGTGCAGTTTAGGGGAACTGTAAAGTCTGATAACTGATTTAGTTATAAAAATACAATTCTGCATTGAAGAAAAGTTTATTTTTACCTTGTATTTGGTGTGATTTGAAATTTGGAATTTTCAAAAATTGGTATTAGCAAGTAAAAAACAACAACAACAAAAAAAAAAATACAACATCAGAAATCAGGAGGCCAAATAAAATTCCATTGCTTCTAAGATTGAACTCTAGATCTCCTGGCTTGATCTCCTCTCTCTAAGGAGGGAGAGAGAGTTGCACCTTTGTTGCTAGGTGGTTATGAAAAGCCTCTAAGTCTAGCCTCACTGTCGCTAGGGCAGTAAAAGTAAAGTAAAGTAAAGTGAACTAAAGTGTCATCATCGCTACTTAAAGAGGGAGGGTCGACTCAAGCAAAAGCACAGATGACATCTATTACCACAAAAAAAGAAAGAAAGAATATTTTAATGTCAAAAACTCACTATCTACCCAAAGAAAGGGCATCTGAACAGCTGACTATTTGGATTATTCAAATATTTTACTTACTAAATGAAATGCACGATTTAAACAAGAAAAAGACAAGGAAATTAACCTGTATGAGGGAAAGGACATAGTTAAGGGGGGGGGAAAGCACAAGTATCAGTGAGTGCTGGGTAAGAGGGCATAGTATGGAAAAGAGGTTTGTAATGAAGAACTTCACAGACTAAAATAACAATCTGTTGGTGAATCCTTAGAGAAAACATAGAAAGGAAAATGACTTACGAGCGAAAGAGATATATATACGCACACTAAATACAAACTGGACAGCAACAAAAAGGGGCAGAAAAGGGAATAGACAAAGATGAAGAGCAAGATATAGGAATGGAAAGACAAGGAGTAAGATAAAGCAAAAATAGGGGATATAAAGGAATAGACACGAAGATAAGAACTATTATTTAGCAAGAAAAGGTGGGGTAAAGGATTTGAAAGAGAGCATAAGTAGGACAACACCTAATGATGCTCCAGGTGACTAACTCGTCATTTAAACGAGAGAAAAAAAGAAAGTATGCTATTTGATTAAATCTGGGACTCTCCACCATTTGACCCTAGAACTGAAGAAGCTTCTCGGATGAGAGGTGAAACGTCTTCAAGCAACTTAAAGAAGTCCAGACGCTTTTCTTTCCAAGCTCCTTAGACTA